CCTCTCCTGAACCCTCCTGCATCCTCAGGGCTCCGACGTCGCGACTTTCGTCACAACGTGGCTCGTGGACCCCTTCCCCAGGAACGGTTTCTCATCCCGGGCCGTGTCTTGATCGGCCCGGGGGCCTGGCGAGGGCCCCCAGGGGGCCGAAAACTCCCGAACACCTTCCGGCGTGATTTCTCCACGGCGAGAACACGTTCTTCATTCTTCATACATCGAGACCCCAATGACGCGTTGCCTCCGCAGCGAGAAAGAGCGGGGGCCCTCGGAGAAGCCTGCTGCGGCCCCCCGGCGCCCCCTCGATAGGCAAGCGCGCCCCACTGCTCGCAGAGAGTAGCGGTTCGCAAGTGGCACAGGTCCGCCGTGGGAGATTCCTTCGGGGGCGGCCAAGAGGGGGGTGTCCAAGAGGGGGGGGGCAAATCATGGCCGGCGGCACGTGCGCGGCCCAAGGGGGGGGGCCAGGGACGTAATGAAATAAGAAGAGGCGCCATGAAATCTGAGGAAAAATCATGGCCCGCGCCATGAAATCCCCCCCCCCGTAGTCATCACCCCCCTCCTTGCCGCCCCCCGATTTTCCTACGACCCCACGACACTCGGGGCAGACACGGTTGATGTTCGGAAGCAGTCTGAGAGCAGGCACGAAGGCGACGAGAGCAGCTAAGGAGAAGCGGTAGAGGGGGATGCGCTCCCCCCTGTTGACCCGAGCGTCGAGGGAGCCGGTCGTTGGACGAGGATGCTGTCATGACAGGATTGGCGCAGGAACCGTTCCAGGATTCCAGCGTAAGCAGCGGCCTTCGCTCCTGGAGCCCGTGTGGAACACTTGGGAACCTTCGAAATCCTGGCCGGAACCCTTGGAAGTCTCGGAGCGTACAGTGGAGGCCAGGCCACAGGAAACCTGCCACAAGAAACCAAACCCTGAGACTCCAGGACGTCCATGGATTTTTGGTGTGGGAACGTAGCGCCTTCCGCAGCAAAACCGTCGAAACCCAAGAAACCCTGGGCACCCTGGAGGCAAGCAGGGTGTTTCTTAGCATGGGCCCCCACTGTACCATTATCATTAGGTCGGGCGTGTCCCCCTACGGGCCGATTTTGGACAAAAAATTAGACATATCCCCAAATTGCACCAGAATGGTCAAAAGATACCCCACTATCGTCCCCAGACTATGTTTCGACTATTTTTGAATATTCTTCCTGTAGAGAAACCGGCCCGCCTAACTGTACCATTCTCACGGCCTCCTGCTCCTCCGAAGTCGCCTTCTCCTCCGCGGGCGCGCCCACCGCCGCGGCCGCCTCCGCGGCCCTGCGCTCGCCCTGGCCCCCGGCCAGCTGCCGGAGCGCAGCGAGCTCCGCCTCCGCGGGCCGCCGCCCGCCGCACGCCGCCGCCGCCGCCCGCTGGCGTCGTCGGCGTCGTCGGCGTCGTCGGCGTCGGCGTCGGCGTCGGCGTCGGCGTCGGCGTCGGCGTCGGCATCGTCGACGTCGTCGTCGTCGTCGTCGTCGTCGTCGTCGTCGGTCGTCGTCGTCGTCATCGCCGTTGTTTTCGGGGATCCCCTCCTTCTCCTCCTTCTCCTCCTCCTCCTCCTCCTCCTCCTCCTCCTCCTCCTCCAATGTACAACCCCACCCTTTCTGATTGAGCAGCAACGCACGATGGGGTCATTTGAGGGATCCGGGTGCGCTAGGACACCCGTCGGCGGAAATAGGCAAATCAGCGACATGGGAAGGGATGGGTGGGACGGGTAGGATGGCAGATATGGCGCGAGCGCACCTAGCTTGTCCACCACCCCCTCTCCCTCCTCCTCCGAAGCCATGTAGGAGGACGCCAACTATACATATACACCGACCCTGGCCACGTCCATTTTGGGGTCCCAAAACGGTGCGGTGACGGACCGTGCGGTGCCCCTCGAAATCCCAAGAGGCACCACCGCACGGTCCGTCACGGCACAGCGTTGGGACCATGGAGGCCCGAGTCGCCCAAGGCGTCCGCGGATAACGACCCAAGTCCCCCAAACCCGTGCGGTCAGCACGGATCCTCACTGACTCACACACTGTGTGGTCACTGCACCGTTTGGGGGCCCCCGACCACCCTGGGCGCATGACCGATGTATACGCCCGCTCGGCCTGGCGGAAGAGGAGGAAGAGGCGGAGGAGAAGGAGGAGAAGGACGACGACGACGACGAGAAGGAGGAGGAGGAGGAGGAGGAGGAGGAGGAGGAGGAGGAGGAGGAGGCGGAGGCAGAGGAGGAGGAGGAGGAGGAGGAGGAGGAGGAGGAGGAGGAGGAGGAGGCAGAGGAGGAGGAGGGAGGAGAGGAGGAGGAGGAGAGAGGAGGAGGAGGAGGAGGAAGGAGGAGGAGGAGGCAGGTTACCCATGTACGGTAACACGCACCGTGTGCCCCGCACGGTGACGTGGGGTAACCTGTGTCTCCTGGTGCAGGAAGAACAAGGGAGGCATGGGGGCCGCCCGCCATCGGCGGGTTGGTGGAGCTCCTGGAGCTCCACGCGGTGAGCCTGGCGCCTCTTCTTTTCGCTCTTTTCTCTTCTTCCTTTTTCTTTCTCGGGCCCCGCCAGGAGTGTGCGGCCCCTAGCTCTGGGGGGTCGGCGGCGGTGGGCGCGTGCACTCATCGTCCGCAACTTCGTGCGCAGGAGGAGGAGGAGGAGGAGGAGGAGGAGGAGGACGTGGAGGCGGAGGAGGAGGAGAAGAAGCGGGAGTAGGACTGAAGAGGAAGGAAACAGGAGGAAAAGCGAGACCCTGAGGCGGAGGCGGTAGGCGGAGGAAAAGGAAAGAGAAGGAGGAGGAGGCGGAGTCGGAGAAGGAGGGGAGGTGGAGGCGAGGAGGAGGAGGCGGTAGAAGAGGAGGAGGCGAGTGAGGAGGAGGAGAGGGAAAGAGGAGGAGGAGGAGGAGGGGAGGAGGAGAAGAGAAGGAGAGGAGGAGGAGGAGGAAAGGCGGAGCGGAGGAGCGGAGGAGGAGGACGAGCGAAGGAGGAGGAGGCGGAGGAGGAGGAGGAAGGGGAGTAGGATGAAGAGGAGGAAAAAGAGTAAGAGGAGGAAAAGGAGGCGGAGGCGGAGGCGGAGGATGAGGAAGAGGAGGAAGAGGAGGCGGAATAAGAGGAGGAGGAGATGGGGGAGGAGGAGGAGGAGGAGGATGAAGAGGAGGAGGAAGAGGAGGAGGAGAAGGAGGAGGAGGAGGAGGAGGAGGAGGGGAAGGAGGATGATGATGATGAGGAGGATGAGGAGGATGGAGAGGAGGCCGACATGGGAGTGAACTGTTGGGGAGAAAAAGAAGGGGGGCGACGAGCGAGGAGGACAAATGACAATCATGAGCGGGGAACAGGAGTGGAGCGGCGGATGCAGGAGCGGGATTAGAAGGGATATGAGGCGGAGGAACAGGAGGTGGAACATGATGATGAGGAGGAGGAGGAGCAGGAAGCGGAGGAGGAGGAATGAGGGATGGTAGCGAAGGGAAGTGCTGATAATGCTGCTGCTGCTGCTGCTACTGCTGACGATGACGGTCATGCTGATGGTGCTGATGATGATGAGGAGGATGATAGTGGTGGTGATGATGATGATGATTATTAAAATGATGATGGTGCTGATGATGCTGATGATGCTGATGCTGCTGCTGATGATGATGATGATGATGCTGATAACGGTGTTGGCCATGATGATGGGGCGGGGGAGGATGATGAGGATGAGGTGAATCAGGTGGATAAGTGCATGCGTCTGTGACGCCTCGCATCTCGCGAAGGAAGGACGACCCCCTTGGCGCCTGCACGGGCCGCAAGCCGCGCCCAAAGGTGCCCCCCTGGGCCCCCGCCCCACCCCGAACGGCAGGGGAGGCCGACCCTAGAGGCGGCGCTGGGGAGGGACCACCCTCCCCAGAGCCCAAAACTCAGAACTCGAACCACCCCAGGAGGAACGCCTCATCCTCCTCCCAGGGCCTCGGAGGCCTGCTCGAGGAAAGCCAGGACCTCGCCGCCCAGCAACTGGCCCTTGGTGTCGTGCTCTATGCACTGCGCCAGCAGCGTTTGGACCGCGCTCCACGCCGCCCATGACCGCAGCGTGCTGCTGGAGCTCCTTGACGAGCTCGTCGACGCCGAACTCCTTGCTGACCTCCTGCTGCACGACCTGCGAATGTGGAAGGTCTGCGACCAGCTCGTCCGCCGCGGGCTGCACGACGAGAGACTTATCGATGATGTCATCCTGCCCCACCTGCGGCACCCCCACGGTCTCCACGCCCTCGTGCTCCTCGAACTGTGACTACGGAGCGTCCGCGATCAGCTCGCCCGCCACGGGCGAGCACTTTCCGATGCTCCGTCATGCTTCACCTGCAGCAGCTCCACGGCCTTCTCGACCTCCCAGCCAGGCCTCCTCTCCGTTGAAAGACGGGAGCGGCGGGATTGCGACAAACTCCGCCCCGGCCTCCTCGCGCGCGAAGCTGCCCTCGACGTGCTGCGCCGCCTGTGCCTCCTCGTCCTTTCCGTCGCCAGCCATCGTCTCCTCCAGCGCTGCCTGCGACCCAACAAACTTGCCCTTCTGCGGGGCCTCCTCGCCAAAGTTGTGTCACCTGGCCCAACCATCCGGCTCTGCGGCGCACCTTCGCGCCGTCGCCGTCCTCGCACATGTCGAAGAACTGCGGCCCGAGGGAGGCAGCCTCCTCAACAGTACCGCCAGCAGGGACGCCCCCAACCAGGAGCTTAAGACAGCTCCGCCGCGTTGGTGAAGCCGATGGCGCCGATCAGCTGCGGCTGCCTCTTCGGACCTTGCCCTGGTGATTGTGGTTCTTGTCTTCCTCGTCCTTCTTGTCCTCCTTGCCCCCGTGAGCGCCCACCGAGTCCTGCTCCGACATCTTCGGCTTGGACCCGCTGCTCTCCTGCTCCTGCTTGTAGGCCTCGGGCGCCCGCTTGAGGTCCAGCCGCGCCTTGCTCTTCGGGGCGCTCTGCGCGGCCTCCGGCTCCGCGCCAGGAGAATGGCCGCGCCCCGCCATTAGGCTGCGCAGGCGCGACCGCTCAGTCTCCTGGCGGCGGCTCCATGGGCGCATCCGCGATCGCCGGGGGCTGCGCCAGGGACGGCTGCGCCGTGGGCCTTGCCTCGGGCGGCGCCACCGCCCGTGCAGGCCTCCTCGCGGGCGACTTGGCCTGCCGTGCTCCCAGGGCCGCGCGCGCGGAGGCCGCCGCCGAGGTCTCCCCCGCGGCCCCGACCGCCGCCTGCAGCATGACCGCCGCCTCGCCCGCGGGAGGACCCCCCCCCCGCAGGGCTGCGGCCACGGCGCCGCCGCCGCTGCTGCGGTGCCGCGCCATGCCATCGGCTCGGTGCGCCTGCGCCGCTTTCAGCTGCGGAACGCCAGCTCCCTGAACGCCCCTCGGGAGGAAACGGCTTGAGCCAAAGTGGCTACGGAGGAAGAGGAGGACCAGGAGGAGAAGGGTGGGGAGGAGAAAAGGGGAATATGGGTGGGGAGAAGGAATATGCTGAGGACGTGTCAGGGGAAGAAAAGCTTGACGCCTCTTTTTGGCTTGGTGCTCCCTGTTCGCTCCCAACTTTTGTCGTAGGCCTCGGTGTCTTTTGTCGGGTTGCCCATGGCTCCAAGCTGTGGCGTTTTAGCGAGGCTCTGAACCCAAACACCTTTGTTTGCCCGTGGCGCAGGTTGCATGCGATTGCTTCCCCTACCATGTTTTTTCCTCCATCCCACTTCTCCTCCTCCTCCTCCCCATCCTCTCCTCCTTCGTCGTCCTCCTCGTCCTCGTCCTTGCCCTTGTCCTCGTCCCCCTCCTCCTCTTCCTCCTCTTCCTCCTCCTCCTCCTCCTCCTCGTCAGTCTCCTCATGAGAGGGAGAAGCGCGAGCGGCAGCAGCAGGCGAGAAATTCGACGAGGACGACGCCTACGATGGATCACATGACTGACACGACGAAGGCAAATCTCAATACGAAAGACACGAACATGACGAACAGGAAGACGAGCACGACTAATAGCAATAATGCTGACACTAGCTCTACTTGTACTGATACCAGTAATACTATTACTATCAATAGCACGACACATACTGATAATACACATAATCGTATTATTATAAACACAAGTTGTTGTACTATCACAAACAATTTCCGGAATGCGATGAGTAATGCCAACCATAATTCGAGCAAGCGCAATTGTATGATCAAGTTGAGGCAAAGAGGGGGATACCCCCACATATATATATATATATATATATATATATATATGTATTTACATGTATAATACATATATATACATATATATATACATACATATATATATATGTATATTAGGTGTAACGTTTTTTTCGCGCGCATTCCAGAAGCGAGCTCGAACCCTTACCCCTTGCCGTTCATTCAAACACGGTAACACAGATTTGGGGTTACTGTCTACTGCGACAAACACTGCAAGTATTACGAGCAACGCTGACACGACTACTCTCGCTAATAGTTATAGAGCTGGTGAAACTGGCACTTGTACGACCTCTGGCATTGATACTACTGGCAGTAGTATCGATGCCAATTGACTAAGCACGAATGCGAACGCTACTGCGAACACAAACACCCATACGCAATCGAAAATCCTTGCGGGTGGCAGCGGGAGGCCACGACGGCAACGCCACGAATAGAGACAACAGGAGGCCACGACGCCCGACCGATTCCGGATCGGACAATGCACCTATTAGTTCTCAAGTTGTTTGAAGGACATCCTGACACACACACGCCAGCTGCTCAGGGAATCGTCGGAGAGCTGGGTGTCGGAGGCGGCCGAGGGTCTGAGCTGGTTGGGCCTCGAGAAACTGGGTCGAAAGAGCGGGGAATTCGTTCAACATCGAACCCTGGACCCCTCGCGGAATCCATCTGGTGCAGATTTTCACCCCGGATCCGCTTCAGGCACAGCCCCTCGAGACTGAACAACAACACAAACCTTCTCGACCCCAGCGCCTCGAACCTCTTCCCCCCTGCTCGCCGGAGCCAGTGCTGGGCCACCTCAGACCCCCAGCCGGCTCCAAGCTGGCCTTGCTTCCTGGCGGCCCATCCGCGCCTCACTGCCAGCGGCGCGCCCCGCATCGCCGCCTGCGCCGCGGCCTCCGCGCCTGCCGCGCCCGCGCCCGCGGCCGCCGCGCCGGCCGCGGCCGGCGGCGGCAGCCTCCGCGCGGCCCGCGGCGCGGCCGCGGCGGCGCCGCCGCTGGCGGCGGGGGCGGCCGCGGCGCGGGGCGGCTGCGGGTTGCGGGGCGCCGCGTGCACGACAAGGCTGCCACCGTCGCCTCGGGAGGGCGCCCACTCGGAGGGGGGCCCGGTGGAGTTAGCGGCGGCCCTCTGCCTGGCCTCTTTCGCGCTTCGTGGGTTCTCTGGATGCTTCTCCTCGCCACCGCTGGCTCCGCGTCGGAGCACGGGCGAGCGTGGGCCCCACGAGAGTCCGCGGGCCAAATGGGAGCGGATGTCTGCCTGGGCGGGAGAGCCGCCGTGGTCTCAACGGGCCCTCCCCCGACCTGCTAGCCCATGTCTCCGACGCTGCGTTTTTTCTCGCTGATCCTCAGAAGGCGAATTAGCGTTAAGTCGGGCCTGTCCTCCTACAATAGGGTTTTGGACGAAAATTCGCCGGCCCAACGGGCCAGAGGCGTGCTAAGATCTCCGGTAACTACTTAACAATATTTCTAGTTCGCGCGCGCGGGGCGGCCCCTTGGGGGCCCTGGACGAAAAGTACCCTGGCCGATCCCCGGCTGACCCCCGGGCGATCCCCAGGGGGGAAGCTATTTTTCGCCACCCCTCACGAGGATCGTGGCCTCCGAGGGGGGGGGGCTGCCAACGACTACCCCCCCTCCCGCCCCAAGGCGCCCCCAAGAGCCCCCGAAGAGGCCCCAGGGGAGCCCAATACGCCGCCAAGGAGCCCCAAGACGCTCCCAAGAAGCTCCCAAGAAGCCCCCACGACGGCCCCAAGAGGCCCCAAATAGCGCTCCAGGGCCGGCGGAATGAGCGAAGCGATTAATCAATCATAGTAAACAAATACTAAAAATCATCCCCATACTATTTGTTTGACTATTTTTGACAGGCCCGACTCAAAATTGGCGCCAACGTGCGATTGTCCATCGGAGCTTTTTCGACACGGCGAAGGCCAGTGCACTGAGGGCTGGCACATTCTGCGCGCTGTCGGCGGCACTGCGTGGGGCAACGCCCGCGCACATGTGGCCAACACGCGTCCAGAGGATCATCGGTTTTCTTCAAAACCCTGGCGTTTGTCCTCGGATTCGGCCTCAAAGGCCCCGTTCGTGCCTCGGGGCCACCAACAATTGTGAAGGGGCCCTGGGACACACAAATAAATACACACAAATAACAGGATTCCCCATATTCCCCCATATTTTCGGGGTTTTTGCCTTCCCCCCACTTCCCATGTTTCCCCCCATGTTTTCTGGGGAATCGACGATTCATTGTGTCTGTGTGTTTTTTCCCCTCCTGAAATTGGCCTCGGGACGAGAAGTTGCCCCTCTGGGGCCGCGCGCTGGACAAACCCCACCGTCGGAGGTCTACAGGTCAGGAGGGCGCCAGCTCCATGCGCCCACTCTGGCCGTCGCCGGGCTCGTGCTGGGCCCAGGGTCGGGGTACAGTCGAAACACTGCCGTAAGGAACCCTAAATAAGGAACGAAGCCCTATTTTCCATAAGTGAAACTTTGATTTCCAATCGAAGACCTAAGGGAAACCTCAGACAAGCTGCAAAACGGTTAAGGAACACTGAGCCCTTCCCCAACGAAAATGGTTCCTTCTCCACGGGCCCGACTGTAGGTAGGGGGGTACAGTCAACACTGATAGTAAGAATGAACGACTTTCTTCGGTTTCCCTCGCATCCTCTCCTGGTGGGTCCGACCTCGGCCGCTTTCGTTGGCCGCGCCCCGCTCGAAAAGTGTCGGCATGGGCGTTCCAATACCCTTGTGCCCTTAGCGTGTATTCCTGCTAGTAGTCTTTGACGGGGCCCAGGGACACCCAAATCAATACACACAAATCCCAAGATTCCCCCTATTTTTCAACTTTTTGTGGATTTTCGCCTTCCCCTCCGCTTCCCATCTTTTCCGATATTTTCTGGAGAATCGACGGGCACTTTTGTCTGTGTGTGTTTTTTTCCTCTCTGAGTTTTTGGCGGCAGGTGGGCGCTTGGCGCTTCCCCCGGCCTCTGGCGGTCCAGCCCAGGCTGGCCGGCGTGTCGTCGGGGCGGAGTGCCCTGCCGCCGTGGGAGAACAGGACGCCCTCGACGGACTGCTCCTGGTGCCTGCGCCAGGGCTGGACCTAGACGTTGTTTTTCTTTCTCCAGGTCTCTCAACAAGCGTGGGGGGGTGGATCGCGTGGGGGGGTGGGAAACCGCTGTCCTTCGGGGAGCGTGGGGAGGTTGGGGAGCGAGAGGGGGTGGGTTTGGGGCGCGTGGGGGGGCGGGCAAGGGGCGTCGGACAGGTTGGCACAAGGGGGGTGCTTCTTGAAGGATCTGGAGTTTCGTTCTCGTCTTGTTTTCCGTTTTGCTCTACCTGTCTTCCTGCACCTCCCTCCCAAAACGGACAACAAAACACAGCCGAAGTCCGGCACAGTGGCGTTTAGGCCCCGCCCTGGCCTGCACCACACCTCCATCATCTTGCGCAGGACGTTTCCGGGCCCGATCTTGACCTCTCGTGAGCCAGCCACGCGCGCGGGGGGGTATGGGGGAGGGAGGGCGGCTTCTTGGAAGCACCCCTGCTCCTGAGAAGCCCTCCCCCCTCTCCCTGCCCGGTCGTGCGCGCCGCCATGTACGGGGACCCCCTCGTTACCCCCCCCACGCAGGGCCAGGCCAGGCCGATGATGGGCCCAGGGCTGGTAGATGCGACCCCCAGGCCTGGCCGGGAGGCCAGGAAGGTGCATGTACCGATCCTGGCCCAAGCGCTGGCCTCGCCAGCGCTCGACGTCGTGATTTCGATCCCCGACGTCGTGATTTCGACGACGTCGTGATTTCGATCCCCCGACGTCGTGATTTCGATCCCCCGAAACCTCGACCCTCCCGAGTTTTCTTCCCGAATCGTTGTTTGACCGTCCCGGGGACCCAGCGAAGGCCCCCAGAGGCCGAAAGCCAAACAGAATCGTCCGTCGTGAGCTCTTCGTGGCGAAAAATGGAGCCTGGGTGGAGGGCCGACGCTGGAATACAAAACGGGGGCAAGGTGGGGGGCCCAACGCTGAAACCGAGCAGCGCGCCCGCCGCCACCGTTTGCGGGGCAAGCTCGCGAAAAAAAAAAGGTGCGCGACAGGTCCTTCCGCCCGGCGGGAAACAGTGGGCCAGATCGGAGGAGGAGGGAGGGAGGAGGGGTAGGGGAAGAACAAATGGCATAAACATAAAAAAAACGGAGGTCCGCGCTGACCTGCGAATTTTTACGTTTATGTCACTCTTCGTTCTCCTAAGGGAGGAGAGGGCCGCCCGACCTTGACCACGCTGGGCCCGTCCTCGCTGTCCGCCACAATCTCCACGCTGATCTTGCCCCCGCTCGCCGCCTGCGCCGCGCCGCTGCCGCTGGCCGCCGCGCCCGCCGCCGGCCCGCAGCCCGCAGGAGGCGGCGCCGCCGCCGGCGCGGCCCGGGGCACCGCGGAGATCACGAGCGGATCCTCGCGAGGAACAAAACCAGACATGATCGCGTCGTTAAAATATCATTTGCTAGTTTTCGGCCTTTGGGGGCCCTCGCCGGGCCCTGGGGCCGTCCAAGAAACGACTCGGGATGAAGCGCCAGTCCCGGGGAAAAGTCGGGACTTCCGGGGGCCGCATGTTCAACAAAATCCGGACGTCGCACGTCGGGGAAATCGGCGTCGAGCCCAGGGGGGAAGTGAGAGGAGGCAGGCCTTGTCGCAGAAGGCTGCGGGGTTTCTCAGAAGCCCTCTAGCCTTCTGGGAAGCCGTCTCTGTCTTCGGAGAGGGCTTACAGTACGGGCCCGACCACAAGAAACCCAACCCTGAGACCTCAGGACGTCCACTGACTCTTGGTGTGGGGGGAACGTCGCGCTGTCCATAGCAAAACCATCGAAGCCCAAGGAACCCAGGGCACCCTGGAGGCAAGCAGGGTGTTTCTTGGCATGGGCCTCCACTGTAGAGAGCTTCTCAGAGGGCGCGATGTGGCCTCTTCGAGGCCCCGCCGCCTTCTGAGACGAGGCCTGCCCCCTCACTTCCGCCTTGTGCTCGCCGCCGACGGAAGCCGGCATGAGCATGAGCACGCAAGCTTTTGCAGCTCTGCGCGGATCCCTTGGATTTGCACTGGGGCTCCGCTGGCGCCGCTGGCGCCGCCCTCCTCCTCCTCCTCCTCCTCCTCCTCTTCCTCCTCCTCCTCCTCCTCCTCCTCCTCCTCCTCGTCCTCCTCCCCTCCTCCTCCTCCTCCTTCTCCTCCTCCTCCTCCTCCTCCTCCTCCTCCTCCTGCTCCCCTCCTCCTCCTCCTCTCTTCCTCCTCCTCCTCCTCCTCCTCCTCCTCCTCCTGTTCCTCCTCCTCCCCCTCCTCCTCATGGTCCTCCTCCTCCTGTTCCTCCTCCTCATCCTCCTGGCGCTCCTTGCGCCAAGGAGTGGGTCCAGCGTCGATCCAAGAAACCCGCGCGGGCCTCCGAAAACTCGCGGCCCCAGGCGTGTGAGGATCTTGTTTATTTCAAAGCGGGGTCCCCGGAAATCCCGACTCCACCCCTCTCCGAGGCTGATTTTTCATCTCGAGCAGTTTTTTACGGCCCTGGCGATGCCGAAAACGGCCGCTATTTGTATATGTCGCGATCATGTCTGGGTCCGATCGGGCGGTTTGGGTTTAGTTGGACCTGGTTTAATCAGGTGTGCCAGGGGGCGCCCCCCCACTCCATTCAACTAACCAGAAGGGCCGCCACCCGAAGAAACTCCAACTACGGCAGACCTGGTTTTGTGATTCTGGTGAATTTTTTGGGCTTCGGGGCCCAATCGCTAACCGGCCCGCCGTACCCGGGGTCCTCGATACTCGGCTACACGCAAGAGTGACCCTAGGCAAGAGTGACCTTGGGTGCGCGGCTTTATATGTGGGCGCGGGTGGCCACACCCGAGCGCACAACCCGCTGCTATTGGCAACGTTTTCGGCCATCTGGGGACCCCGATGTGCCCGCACCAAAGGTCACTTCGGCGAAGGGTCATTCATGTAGCCGAGATGCGGTCAGGAACTTTTGCACAGCGTGCCGCGGCGGCGGTCCTGGCGGCACGCTGTGCCCTGCGAGCGGATGGCGCGTCGCTCCGCTCCGACGGGCGAGGCTCGGCAAAGCTCAGGACGTTGACGCTGGGGGGTCGGGAAGTGGACCGCGTGTCGCGTCGAATCGTAAAGGGCCAGAACCAGCGGAGCGACACGCTATCAAACAAAATCCCGACCGTAAAAATGATCCTCTCCAATAATCCCGACCCTTACCCTGCAAACGGCTTACCCTGGAACCATTTGAAGAAGAAGCAGGAACAACGGCATAAACACAAAATTTTGGCGCTCCGTGCGGACTCCTTGGATCTGCGGAGCGCGCCAAGTTTATGGGCTGTGGCGTTTGTTCTTCTTCGACTTTTTCACCGCGCGAGCCTGTCTGGGCCCGAGAGTTTCTGTTCACGCGCCCTCCTCCCCCTCCTCCTCCTCCTCCTCCTCCTCCTCCTCCTCCTCCTCCTCCTCCTCCTCCTCCTCCTCCCCCCTCCTCTTCCTCCCCCTCCTCCTACTCATCCTCATACTCCTCCTCCTC